AACCCACTCAGTTTTATTAACAATTATGACATACCCATTTGGATTAATAACACTCATGGTCATCAATATTTCTTAACATCATTTTGTGTTATCATGGTTAACGGAAACATTGCATTCTTCAATGAAAATATATCGCTTGTCAACCGGATTATGATGACATTAAATAGAATCGTCCACACGAATACCAACAGATGTTAATAACTACAAGGTCGCCGATTGACGATAATCACAACTTTCGTTAGTAATATCAAACATTAGTAACATCGTTCAAATTTACTTATTAATAATCCAACAACTTTTTATTAACAACATTGACAAAACCGTTAATAACATGTTACAGACACACGAATGTCCTTTTGTTTCACGCTTATTTGGACGATGAGAGAGGCGAGTGTTTGAAATGGAAAGTGGTGGGCAGGGGAATGGGGCATTTACTATTTTTTCACTAGCAATTATTATTATTATTCTTAACAACATTAAATAATTAATTAAACTACCGCATTTGCCCTTTTTGTTAGTTATTTTCTTCCTATCTCTCTCCTGTCCTTATTGGCCAGCAAAACCTTAAGGAACTCCTTAAGTTTTGGGCTTAAGGATGTGATCCAACCCGATCTATCTTGCATAGTCCCCATTCATGAACCGGGTTTGATGCATCAATCAACTTCAAACAATAGTAGATAAGAAAATAGTTAGGCCAAAATCAACACTAAGAGCATCTCCATTCGAATTGCATTTAAAATTGCATTATGACATGACATTCATTTGCAATTGCATTATGCAATTGAATTGATGTAGATGACAATTGCATTTTTGCAAGCTTGCATATAATGCAATTATGGAATGCAAGTCAGAGCATCCACATTGGTATTGCATTCTCAATTTCAAAATGACATGACATAGGTGTTTGCAATTGCAAAACCAATTGCATTGATGTGGCTATCAATTGCATATATGCAAACTTGCAACAAATGCAATTGCATATGCAAGTCAAAAAAGACTAAAAAAATGGGGACTTTTTATTTTATATTGTTTTCTTTTCTCTTTTACTTAATTTTCTATAATTTAAATATAATATTTAATTAAATTTGCAATTGCAAGTTAATTGCATTGATGTAGGTGAATGAAATGAATGTGATGTGGATTGCAAAAAATTTGAGTTGACAATAAAAAAACACAAATGTAATTTTTTTTCAATTACATTGATGGAGATGCTCTCACATCATTTTTTTATTATTAAATTATTCATTAATTTTATTATTTGAGTGTTTATATTTTAATATATTAAATTAAAAAAATTAGTTGCAATTGCAAGTTAATTGCATTGATGTGGTGCAATGCAAATAAGATGAGTTGGATTGCAAAAAAAATGAAGTAACAATAAAAAAACAAATGCAATTGCAAATCCAATTGCACCAATAGAGATGCTCTAAGAAAATAAACAATTATCATTGGAAATGTGTAGAAATTTAAAAAACATCGACACAGACAACCTAAAGATCACCACCACAATTTTATCTTCATCACCTTTAAAAATCCCACATATATTTCCTTCTATTTTTCACCCCATTGTTACATACTACTCACTTATCGTATCATCATTATATGGCTAGGTAGTAGAATGTTGCTCTTGAAAATAACAAACATAAACAAACATCCTCTTATGGAGTTTGGCAAGATGACAACCCTCGTAACTCTGTTTTCCATTTAGCATCCGAGGAATCATGTTGCGATAGGCCTCCAAGGAAAATGATCAATTGTACAACCCAAAGAGAGATTCTCTAAGTCCCATAAATTAACCCTTCCAAATATCTATTACCTATTTTTATAAAATTATAAGGCAAGAGAGAGAATCATATAAAAATACTTGGAAATCACTAATGGATGGTAGAGGTGGTAAAGGCGCAAGATTGTGTCTAGGAGGTCCTTGATCGATCCTTGGCAGTCACCTCTTTTGCGTTACCCCTTGGTGGCCACCGCCAAGGCTGTAAGCTCGTATTAAACTTTTTCCGAGTTTTCGGGTATCTATTGGGGTTGAGGTTTGCTGTCGTAAGATGGATTTCTCCTCGTATAGAATAAACTACTTGGAAAATGAAGAAGAAATACATTTGCAAAATCTAGTGGAAAACTTACGACCCCACCTTCATAATTTGGAAGAAATTAAGAAAAGAATGGGAAGAGATACATGATGGGCAGAAGAGTAGAACTCAGTCAGTTAATCGTAGGCAACCACATATTGTTGGGGAAGAGAGATCGATCACCAGTTGTGCATCAAGGGGAAAAGGGAATAGTCGACAATGCTTTGTGTTCACAAATATACGATGAATTTTTCCCCCGTCAACAACTAAAAAATATGTTACAACTACTCAATCATTTTCCATCTAACCATTGCTTCATGTAACTCCCTCCCTATTATCCACACAAAAAAAAAACCACATATGTAGTATTATTTCCTTCCTTTATCATTGTGTAAAAAGTAAAGTAGATAAATATTAGAAATCTAAAAAATAATTTAGTAAATAAGAAAATATTTTTGTTTGTTTTACGGAACTTGATCCTTCTTTTTTTTGCCTTTTCAATTAGGATTTTCTTTTGAGAGAGAGAAGCTTTCAACAAAGAGATAGAAGAAAACCAAAGATTGCATTGAATTGGAACTTTAACATTGTTATTAACTCAATTTATGTTTTATTTCTAATAATGATGCATTAAAGTGCAAGAAAAAAATATTGCAATTATTATTAGAGGTTATCCACATTGGATGAATGAGAGCTAGCCATGTGCTTATGTGGCACTAATTTAGTTTTGAATTCCTATAATATTAAGTAAGGATAAGGTAGCTAAACAAGACGAATCTTTCGAAGTCTTTCTTTCCTTCATTTCGTTTTGTACATATGTTTCTCTTCTCCTGTCCCAAATGACCAAATATAAAGAATGAATTCTTTTGACTACGCACATCCAACGCTCGTTTGGGGTGAAAGATTGACCACAAATTTGTCTACAAGGTCAGATTAGAGACGAGTTATTTGTTGACCTTATAAGGGTCGGGACAACTTAGAGATGGGTCACTTTTTGATCCTGTGGCCGTTAGCAACAACAAATATCTCAAGGCACATTGGACTTTTTTGTAAAATTTTAAAAGTTTAGGTACTAACTTGTTAATATAAAAAAATTTGGGTACCAAAATGTAATTTTACCATCAAATTTTATGGACTTATTTGTAAAAAAATAAATTTCAGTTACTAAATTGTAATAAAAAAATTTTGGGTACCAAAACGTAATTTGTAAAAAAGTAGTGTGTTGATTAGGGTCGACCTACTGACCCGGCCCGTCTTAACCCTTGAGGGTCAGACAGGGTCAAGAAGGAGACAGGGAAGGGACGGGTCAGTTATATATCTTGACCCTTCAGGGACGGGTCAGACAGGGTTAGAGACGTGTCAAGGACGAGACATGCAAATTTTCAGCCCTAACGCTCGTTGCGCCATCCAGTCCTGCAATCCACTGCTAATTGGAGTCTACAACTACACAAGGTTGCCTTCTCCTCCTCGACAAAATCGAAGCCCCAAATCCTTCCTGTGAAACGCACATATACGATATACCTGTGTGTAGGGCTGCAAATGAGCCGAGCTGAACCGAGTTTTACCCTAGTTTGAGCTTGACTCGTTAACAAATGAGCTGAGCTCGAGCTCGAGCCATTTATTAACGAGCCGAGTCGAGTTCGAGTTAGGCTTGTTTACTAAATTCTTAGATCGTATTTGATACATTCATTTTGTATGTCGTGTATGGTACATGTGATTGATGTAACGATTAAAAATAATCAAATGTTGAACATTAATTAATCTTATATTATAATTTGTAGGTGTCATATTGTTTAGTTAATAAATTTTAACTAGTTCATATTGTTTAGTTAATAAATTTTAACTAGTTCAAATCATGTTATTTCAAAGTATCGAAATAATTTTGTACATAATTTCTTTATAAAATTAAAAATAAGGCATATTTTCTTACATGTTCAACATGTTAAACTTCACATAATGTGAGATATATAATTTAACAATCCTATGAATTATGAAAGTCCAAATTAGATCGATTTGTCCATAAGTCGGTGATCAAGTTGGCCCTCAAACCACAATGTTGAGACATCACATGAGCTCTAAATAAGCCAACCCACAAGCTGATCTCAACAAGCCACCGAGTCGAGCTAGCTAGCGAGCTTTGCGAGCTGAACAAGGCTAAGCTCAAGCTTGGCTTGTTAGTAAACGAGTCGAGTTTCGAACGAGTTTTTCCCGATTCGAGCCTCGAGTTGCTCGACTCATTTGCAGCCCTACCTGTGTGAAGACCAAAAAACAAAAGAAAGGTGCAATTAGTGGGTAGATGCATTTGGCTACTTAACATAATCTTGTGGTTGATGCATCTAGTTGATTGATTAGGTTTCATAATCGATATAACTTTTGCCCTAAATTTAGAGGTGTTTGTTTGTAAGTTTTTGAAAAATGAAGGATTTATGTAAAATCCTGGATTTTAGGGATGAAGGATTATGTGAGATTTTGTGATTTTGGATTTGTGTTGGATTTTAAAAAGTGCTTGTTTCTTGTTGGATTTCATATTGGATTTGTGTCTATGAGATTTATTATTTATAGGTTGAATTATATTTGTATACTTAATGATTTGTGTACTTATATTCAATATAAGAAATATTGAAAAGACATGAGGATAGAACCGTCATTACCATCATAGATTATAGCCTCTCACAAAATCCCAAATAAATATGTGAGATTTTATAATCCGTGGATCCTATGAATTTTGACCTCATAATAATCCTACATATATGGGGCCACACACCATAATCCAACTTCACTTTAACACCAAACATGGGTTTTGTGCAGTTGAGCAAGTATGAAATCACATTGAGCAAAATTGCTATAGCAAGTCAGGCCCGCTACCACCTACTGATACCGTTTTCTCATGATAAAATTGGGCTTTTTTACTACTATAAACTTGGGCTTTGACTTCAGAATCAAAAGGGAAGCCCACATCATTAAACGACTGAGGTGGCAAGATCAATGGGGGCTTTTGTTTTTTATGAGCAGTTGAGCACCGATGCCAAGAAGAAAATGTAAAAGGAAGAACTGCACAACAACAGCGAGCTCTGTCGACAGACTGAAAGCGAGAAGCGGAAGAAGACGATGGCGTGGAGCGCGACGATGATCGGAGCCCTGCTGGGAGTGGGCACCCAGATGTACTCCAATGCTTTGAGAAAGCTACCCTATATGCGCCGTATGTATTGTCTCGTCTGTTATTTTTTGAGATTTTGGGCGTCTAGGTTTTCATTTCTCCCCCCTGCTTGCGAGCGATTGAATTCGGGTAACGCTTTCCTGATCGTTGTAGATCCGTGGGAGCATGTCGTCGGAATGGGATTGGGGGTGGTGTTCGTGAACCAGCTTGTGAAATGGGACGAAAAGCTTCAGCAGGACCTTGACAAGATGCTTGAGAAGGCTAAAGCTGCCAACGAGCGCCGCTACCTGGGTACGATTTCTCTGTTTTTTTGTCCACGCATCTCTATTCCAAGCAATCCTTTCTCGACATTTTTTTTTCTCTATTGCACCCCACTTTTGGAAAGTCATTCCCTCAAACGAGGAATTAGTTTCTCGATCAGATACCCCTCTTGATTTGATGTGAGTCGTTCGTTGAATGTGTTCGTCCTTTTTTCTGTTCGGTTTCTAGTTAGAGGTTTTAATGCGTAGATTAATGTTTGGCTTGTGAATGACTTGAGAGCAAGATCGTGTATTTTGTTCTTTGTGAGAGACGGAGAAACCATGATTTTTAGTGGCATGTATGGAGGTAAGACAACGAAGAACAGAAATGTACTGTATAATTCAGACCAACTTAACGCACTAACTTAACGCACTATCAGTTCAAAGGATGACCATTAGTCCATTTGTTCATAATTTTTCATATGATTGTAGCATTCCGATACTCTGGTTGCTTCTCTTGTTTTCCTTGACTATTCCTTTCACGGATTTAGATCGTAGTGTATGCATTTTAATCTGTAGTTGTCATTTTTGCTTCTGATTTACTGAGACATTTTGTTGGTAGGAAGGTTTTCACGGTTAATGGAATTGCTGTTGATGTTGGCTAGAGTACATTTCACAAAATTAGCCAGTAACGGAAATCATGTGTCTATTTTTTACTCTTCAGAAGATTGACAATCATCTAGTTTTAGTGGATCCATCCATTGAAACCAGAGTACCAGATAGACGATGTTCGCTCCCTCCCTTTCATTCCTACTCCTAGGTTTTCTGCATGTTTATTCATGACTCTATTGATGGTGTCTTTTACTCGCTGTTAGAAATTACTTTTACTTGCTTCTCTAGTTTAACCTATACATTCTCTATTGCCCATTTTTCTTAGTATACATCTTATATAAGCTTACAAGAACCTTTATTCTTGCAGAGGGTGATGACGATTAGTGTTTTTGGCTTTGATGCGCTGGAGAATCGTTCCAGCGGTGTTTGCATTTTCCTAAAAATCTGGGCTTGAACCGATGTCCCGGCATTGCTGTGTGATCTTTGATATGGTTTTTCCTTGCTCTGCTTTTGTAGTTTTAACTTTTAAGATTGTTCAGCAGTTTTACTGATGTTTTCCTCAAGCACAGACTCGTGAATTTCGCTTTTTTCGGTGAATAATGAGAGGCAACTATTGATATCTGCAAAGCTATATCAGACTCATTTTCATTCCTTTGCTCTGCTGCTGTAGTTTTAAGGCTGTTCAGCAATCAGCAGTATGATTCAGTCTGATTGTTCAATTGCATGCTGCATTTCATGTAATAACAAAATCCATTGAGTGATATGTTGTATCTGTGTGATGATTGTAGCTTGTAAAACTACATGGGAAGATTTTGTTGATCTCTGCAAAATATCCAATGTTGAATTTCACTAACGATGTGGCACAATCACAATCAGATGCTGTCTCGTACTCGACGATATGAATACTAGTACAATTGGCAATTTTATTTTCAACATAGCATTAATTCACTTTAACTGGATGGAACAACCCCTCTTCCATGGTCTAGCCATCAGTGTTCTTCTCCAAATCTACCATTCGGTTCCTCACCAGATGATTCAGCTGGTCGCATGCTTGTCTGGACGATGGCCGCCCTTGCGGAAGAGTTCTGGTGCACTGCAATGCAATCTCCAGCACCTGGTATGCTGCACTCTCTTCCCCTGGCAACAGTGGCTTCAACGAAGGATCAATCAATTCCTCACGACTAATTCCTCCCATTTCCATATTTTTCTCCACCCACCTCACCATGTCCATATCCACACCAAAACTTGAATCTGTTGGTGCTCTGCCGCTCACAAGCTCGATCAGCACGATCCCCATGCTGTACACATCGCTCTTCTCCGTCGCCTTCAACGAGTAAGCATACTCTGTAAAAACCACCCATCAAAAGGCTCATCAGAATCATACACTCAATTGGAAAAAAACCCAGAAATTAGGAAAGAGTGAAGAGAGAAGGGTTAAACTACCTGGGGCAATATAGCCATAAGATCCAGCAAACAATGAATTCGATTCAGTGGTACTGGTGGTGTCGTAGAACTCCACCACGGATTTGGCAAGTCCAAAATCACCGAGATGTGCTTCCATGTCGGAATCAAGAAGCACATTGCTGGATTTGATGTCTCGATGGAGGATTATCGGCACACAGTCATGGTGAAGGTATTCCACACCCCTTACCAATCCCAAAGCTATCTGCATTCTAACTTCCCAGTCAAGGCACTGCTTCCTCTTGTTATTCACACCAGGCTGCCTATGCAGCCAGTCCCACAAGCTCCCATTCTCCATGTAATCATATATCAACAGATTAAAGCCAGCTCCCCTGTTGCAGCAGTATCCCATCAGCTTCACCAGATGTCTGTGCCGAATCCTCCCGAGAGTCTTCACTTCCCTGGCAAAGCTCTTGTTGAACATCAGCTCATCTTTCCATGGCACCTTCTTAACCGCCACAGTGTCTCCATTTCGGAGCTCGGCTCTGTAAATGGTTCCAGAGCCTCCCGACCCGATCACAAACTCGTCCCCGAGATGGTTGGTGGCTTCCATGATGTCATCCCACCTGAACTCCCTCTTCATACTACCAGGATTCAAGAACAGCGGCCTCCGGTGAGCGTGGGAAGATTTCGAAGAGGAGTAAATGCAGCTGACATCACTCCTAGCTCGCAGATATTCCCTTCTTCGCTTACAGAAGAAGGTGAGTCCTAGTCCCAGCAGCGCAAGCGCAGCAAGTGTCGTTATCGCAGATAGCACAACGATCGCTGCCTCGCTTAGACTCGAATGCTTATTAGCTGACCGGCGGCACTGATCAAGAGGGCCTCCGCATAGCTTGGAGTTGCCTAGAAATGAATCAGCCTTCCAGCGCTGAAACCGGTCGCCCAAATCACCTTCCAGGCGATTGAAGGACACGTTGAAGTATCCAAGACTCCTTATCTCGCCGACTTGGGGAGGCACTCTGCCTTGGAGCTGGTTGTGGGATAGATCAAGAGCTTCGAGGGTCGACAATTTCCCGATGGAAGGTGGGATCGAGCCGGTTAAGTTGTTGTAGCTCAAGTCCAGAATGATCTGAAGCTGCTGCAGCCGTCCAAGCTCGGCGGGGATTTCCCCACTGAAGCTGTTGTGCGACATCCGAAGCTCAAGTTGCTTGCTCAAGTTGCCAAGCGCAGGAGGGATATGTCCTGAGAACTGATTGTGGTCAAGTCTGAGGAAGTTGAGTACTTCCAGGTTGCCAATTTCGGAAGGAAGAGTCCCGTTCAGGGAGTTGCCGTCCAGGTAAAGAAGCATCAAGTTGGAGCACTTGAAAAGCTCGGGAGGCAGAGGTCCTGAAAATTGATTCCTCGAGAGCTTCAGCTCCCCTAGCAGTGGCAACGTTCCGAGCCAGGCTGGAATGGAACCGGCTAGACGGTTGTCGTTCAGGTCGATGTGGGTCAGGTTCTTGCACAGCGCGAGTTGTGCTGGCAATACTCCTGTGAGTGAGTTGCCTGAGATGTCTAACAAAGAGAGAGCACGAATTTTCCCCAATGTCCGAGGGAGTTCCCCGGTGAACCGGTTGTTACCAAGCCTCAGCCTTTCGAGACTCCGCGAGTTCCCCAATTGGGGAGGGACCTCGCCGGAGAAGGAATTGTCTGTGACGTCGAACGAGAGGAAAGAACTCGAGCTACACAGCGGGGAAATGCTGCCGTTAAATTTGTTGGTGGACAGGTTGATCCTGGTCAGGTTTCTCAAATTGGAGAGGGAATCAGGCAGAGGACCTTGGAGGGAATTGTTGTAAAGCATGAGCTGCTCTAGATAACGGAGGGATCCGAAGGTTTCAGGAATTCCACCTGATAAGAAGTTATCTGCCAAATCCAGAGTGGTGAGCTGCGTACAGTTGCCCAATTCGACGGGGATTTCGCCGACGAGTTCGTTCTGCCTCCAGTGAAGGAAACTCAGCCGTTGTAGCCTGCCGATTGTGGCGGGGATCTTCCCTGAGAAATGGTTCCCGAAGAAATCAGCCGCTTGCAAGCTCGAACAGTTGCCGATCTCCTCAGGAACCTCCCCAGAGAACTGATTGTCGTAGATGTAGAGCAGTTCGAGCGAGCCCAGCGTTCCAATTTCTCTAGGCAGCTCGCCGTGGAAATTGTTGTGGTAGATCGCGATCTCCTGCAAGTTGCTGAGGTTTGCGATGGAGGGTGAAATCAAACCTTCAAGGGAGTTGTTGTAGAGGTAGAGATTCGTCAGCTGAACCATCTCGTAAATCTCGCTCGGAATCGTGCCGGTGAGCGAGTTGAATGACAGATCAAGCTGCTGCAAGGCTCGACAGTTTACCAGCTCGGCCGGAATCGTCCCAGTCAATTGGAGCTTATTCAGTATCAGGGAGTTGAGATTGGTCGCATTCGAGCATATGCCCTTTGGGACGACGCCGGTCAAGTTGTTGCCCGTCAAAGCCAGAACACCAAGCTGAACCATCTCGCCGAATTCTTCGGGTATCTCTCCGGTGAGCTTGTTTTCCGACAAATCGAGATTGTAGAGGCTACCCAGTTTTGTCAACTCCCTCGGGATTGGACCGTGGAGCTGGTTCCCCATGAAATTGATGTAGGAGAGTTGGGTCATGTCTCCGATTTGTCTCGGTATCTCGCCGGTGAGGCTGTTGTTGAGAAGGTTGAGGTACTGGAGATTCTGCAAACGGCCCAATTCCGGCGGGATGGTTCCGTTCAGCTTGTTGTTGGATAGAGCGAGTACTGTGAGGCTAGAACAATTACCCAACTCGGGTGGAATCGGTCCGTAGAGCTGATTGTCCTGCAGAACCAACTGGTCAAGTTTGCCGAGCCGGCCGAGTTGGGGCGGGATCGGACCGGTAAGAGTGCAGGAAGCCAGACCCAGCGTGACCAAGTTGGGGAGATTTCCCAATGAGGCAGGGATTTCGCCGGCAAGCCAGTTGTTGCCGATTTTGACGACCCGGAGGGTTTTGATCGAACCGAGCTGGGCCGGGATCCGACCCGTGAGGTCGTTGGTGAACAAAAGCAGAGATTCCAATACGGAGAGGTTGGCGAGAGTGGTTGGGATGGGACCCGTGAGGGCGTTGGAGGAGAGATCGAGGTGGAGCAGGTTCTGCAAGCGGCCAAGCGCGGGCGGGATTGACCCGGTCAGCGACGAGTCGGATAGGTTTAGACCCGAAACCACCCGGCCCGACCGGCAAGTGACCCCGCTCCATTTGCAGAAATTCGGGTTGCTCCGGTTCCAATCGCTCAGGCTTTCCCCGCCTGCGATCAGTGATTCCTTCACCTCCAGGAGAATCCCCAGCTCGTGACTTCGCGGGAAGACGGAGCTAAATGAACAGCACAGCAGAAGGAACAGAAGGACGAACTGCTGAAGAAGAGGAAGAAGTTCCATTTCGTTGGTTCTGCTCTCTCTCACTCTCTGTTTTTGCTTGGAAACTACAGAGTACGTTGAGAAAGAGAGAATGAGGATGGGGTTATGCAAGAACTGGTTTTATGGTGGACATCAAGGTTTCGTTTTGGTGGGTAGAGGCATTGGGAGGGGAGAAGGGGCATTGGTTGGGGGAAGGAGGCGGCAGCAGCAGAATCCATGTGAAGGTGGAATTAGGGAGCTCTGCCTCTGTCTCTGCAGCAGCTTCTGATACCACAGTGCCCTTTAAATGGGGTGCTACTCGCTAGGATAGAGAGAAAAGAGAGGAAGAAAGGAGAGTGAAAGAGACAGATAATTGTTTTCTAATGGAAAGGAGATGAATTTCAGAAGGGTGGATTGACTATGGAGGGAAGATATCAATGGGAGTTCACACCAACTTGTGAGACAGGGACATGGCCATAAATGAGCAAAGCTTCGGGATTCTGCAGCTGGGACTGTGCTATTGGGAAGCAGGGGAGGTGGCATGGGCAGTGTTTTAAATGATGGAAGGAATTGGATTGGTTCGATTTGAGGGAGAAGCAGGTCAAACTTGGGTCAGAGGCAGAGGATTATTAATTGGGACACAAGTCAAAGGGTAGAGAGAGAGAGCAGGACATTGAATATTGAGAGAGAAGAGAAGAAAGGAAGGAAGGGGAAAGGGGAAGAAGAGTGGTTAGAAAGAGGCAAAGGGCAGGGGCTAGTTGTGGAATGGAGTGGGGGAGAAGGAGACAACTGTTCACTTGTTTGTGGGTTTGCTTGCATTAGTGAGTTAGCTCAGAATGGTTACATCTCTCTAATCACATCAACTAAAAATAAGTGTGAGCGGTTGGGTTGCCCTTTCTGCTGCTATAATATATGCAGGCCCAATTATGCAGCCTTTTTCTTGCATGGAACCAAAGGATGGAAGAAATGGATGGAGATAAGAGTGCAGAAGTTTTGGTCATCCTTGTAGCAGACTAATATTGATAATGAGTTTATAGAGAACACAGAGATGATAGAGTCGGACATTCATGATTTTGCTAATTGAAGAAGTATTACTAGGTATTCATTCTTTTGGAAAATAATGAGTCTTGATGTTTTCTTACAGTATGCTTGGAAACAACCAAAAATAATGGAAACTAAATTTCATTCTCTACCTCTATTCGTTTGTTGTATTTGAAATGTGAAAAAAAGTGAAGAAAAGGGGATTTAAGGTAACTGGGTACAAGTTGTATTGTCGCACATCACTAGGAAACACGGTTCTTAACGATCGGTTAGAGGAAAGTTATAACATACATTATGACTACTAAGAACTAGGACAAGATTGTGTTGAAATTAACGTCTCATGTTCAAGTCGACTTCAAAAACCCTATATGCTTGGTTTATAAAAAACTAGCATAAGCCCGCTCGCTATCGCTGCGCGTGTGATCGAGAACATGATATTTTAAAGATGAGTAATTTGAATTTGATCCAAAAGTAAAGGGCTTGTCATCTACAACTTCATGTAGTCTATGCAGCTATAAACTTTAATAAGCGAGAATGGTCGTCGAGCAAATAATTTATATGTTAAATCTTCTCTTGTAACACTATTGATTAGTTTGTATTTTTTTTTTGTTTTTTTTTTCAAGTTCATTTGCAACCAAAACGAAAAGAGACACTAAAGCGGATAAAACTCGCTCATTACCCAAAACTCGGCAACATCAACTCTCTTTGATTGGGTTGAACCAAGTTTGTAACAAATTCACAATCGACCCGACCAGACAATTAAAACGGCGTATAGAACTCACACCCGCACGAGAAATTAAAACACTAAAGTGGATAAAACTTGCTCACGATCCAAAACTTGGCAACATCATATTCAACGCTCTTTGATCTGGTTGAATCGAGTATGTAACAAATTCACAACCGACTCGAGCCGCCAATTACAAAAGCGAATAAAACCCACTCCTTCCTGAAAGCTTGTAAACTTCTGGTTCAAGTCATTTTGATCAAGTTAAATTAGGTTGGATACCCATAAGTTTGGGTTCTCAACCAAAAGAAAAAAGATAAATAAAAAAAAATAAAGCGGATAAAACTGGTTCCCCACCAAAAACTCTACACACCAAGTTCAACTCGCCTTCACTGGTTCGAACCGAGCTTTTAACAATTCAGAGTCGGCTCAACATGCCAATTCTAAAAGCAGATAAAATTCGCTCTCGATACAAAACTCGTCAGCTCTTAGTCTTGCTTCAATTATCATTCTCAACGATAAGGAAACGGAAAAATAAAATAACATTAAACAGACAAATCTTGCTCTCGATCCAAAACTCGTCAATACTGTGTTCATCTCGCTTTGACTGAGTCGAATCGAGTTTTTAACAAATTCACACTCGACCCAACATGCCAACTACAAAAGCGGATAAAACTCGCTCTCGATACAAAACTCGTCAATACCATGAGTTTGGGTTCAATTGTCATTCTCAACGAAAAGAAAAATCGAAATAGAAATTTTAAATTACTAAAAGTCGGGTTCAAGTTGCTTTGACCTGGTCGAATTAGGTTGGATACCCATGAGTTTGAGTTTAATTATCATGCTTAACCAAAAAAAAAAAAAAGAGAAATAAGAAAACACTAAAGAATATAAAACTCGGTTCCGATACAAAATTCGGCAACACAGAGCAAGTTGGTATGGATTTTTGGTAGCGGTCTTGGGACACGATGGATGGGTACAACCTAGGATTCCACCAAAAGTATTTCGAGATATGGTATGAATCTTTGGTAGCAGTCGTAGAAAACGGTGAAAGAGGACAACTTATGATTTCGTCAGTAGTGCTTCCATAATTGTTGCAATTGGGGATGATTTGGGCGAAAGATCATAGACGAAAATCTAACAGATAAATGTTGCAATAGGGAACACAATGAACAATTGATGAAACCTAATAAGCAATAGATGTAGATCAAATGGACAATAAATGAACACAAAGGTTGTAGAATGGGAGAGTGAGGTAAAAGATAAAACTTGAAACTTGCTCACTTGCAAGGAGGAGTGTGAGAGCCACTAATAAATAGTAACACCAAACCTTGGCTTTTATATATTATATTATAATTAATATATATTAATATGGCATGGACTACGATCATGGTGAAGAAATAGTCATTCGACCTTAATCCTATGCAAAGGCTTCAAACATGATTTTTGAAGGCCGAATGATTCTAGGCAATGGAAATAACTTTCAAGATTAGAATTTGGCCAAAAACACTTACTCGTTTGCTTGTTGGATTTGAAAATGAGGGTTTTGAGTTTTAAAAATCTTTGGATTTATGATGGATTTGTTGCATTGTGAATTTGAAAGAGTACATTGTTTGCTTAGTTAATTTTTATCATGGAGTTATGATGGATTTGTCTCGCAACTTTGCCTTCCATTATCAAATCCCAAATAAAATGTGGGATTTGCAAATCCGCGGGGTCACGGATTTGGATCTAAAAAAGAGTCCAAATCCGTGGGCCCCAAGGATTTGTGTCCCATAACAAACAATGAATTTGTTCCAAATCCTTGATGCTTGGGATTTGGGTGTCAAATCCATCACCCAAATCCCACAAGCAAACGTTAAGAAGACGGACGGGCTCGTTTGCTTGTTGGATTTGAAAATGAGAGTTTAGAGTTTTAAAACCTTTGGATTTATGATGAATTTGTTGTATTGTGGATTTGAAAGAGTACCTTGTTTGCTTAGTTAATTTTTATCATGAAGTTATTATGGATTTGTCTCACCACTTCCTTTTGCATGACGTCACACCAATGCTTATGAAGTACTGCCTGATAAAAATAGGTAGGCTCTTCAGCAGAAGTGACGGCTGCGACAAAGGCATGATGTGCCAAAGAAAGACAATCATAGCCAAGAAAATTCTCAAGGGGATACTCAACATCAACCGAACCCCCCAAAACTTGGCAGCTGCACGTCAAAACCATGCAAGCGCGTAGAAGGAATACGTACGCGATCCCCCCTACGAGGAGGCGGAGCTGCAGAATGAGGTGAAGGTGCAACTGGCTCGGGAGTGGCCTTGTGAGCATTAGGAGGAGAAGAAAACGAGGTATGCATGCGTTCACCTAGAGTAGAAACATCCCGTAATGTAGAGGGACCCGAGTCCTCCCGGACAGGACTCGAAGAAGGAGAACAATCAGAGAATTTTGGGTTTGGCGTCACTGCCGATGGAATGGAAGGGCCGGGTAAAGGATCATCATCAATTACAGGAGGCAAGACACCAAAATTCGGTCGTGACACTGCTGCCGGAGTCAAATTCACTTCCTGATCAACAACATGATAGGAATATACATCTTCCAAGAATTTGACATATCGGGAGGTATAAATCACACGCTTCTCAAGGTCATAAATATGGTAGCCCCGCTAATTGGAAGGATACCCGAGAAAAATACCTGCTCGCCCTCTATCCGCGAACTTATGAAGCCCTTGATGGGTATCTTTGGCATACGTCAGATAGCCAAAAGATCGAACATAGCTATACAAAGGATCACTTCCAAACAAGACCTGATACGGAGACTTGTTCCCAATGCTAACAAGAGGCATTTTGTTAATCAGGTAAGCTGCAGTCAACACACACTCACCCCAGAACTTAAGCGGCAGGTTAGTAGGTAAACGCAGGGCTCGGGCAATCTCAAGTAAATGTTAGTGCTTGCGCTCTACCACCCCATTTTGTTGTGGAGTGGCAAATTTAGGCCCATTATCAGCCTGAATACCTGCTTGTCAAACTGTGTACGAACCATGCTACAAAAATACATCAAGTAGTGACCAACATCCGACTTATGACGCATCAAAAAAACCCATACTGCACGACTATAATCATCAACCACAGTCAAAAAATAATGTGCACCAGTAGTGGATGTTGTCTTATAACTGCCCCATATAATAATATGAATAATATCAAAAACCGACTTGGTTTTAATAGTACTGGACTCAAAAGAATTATGAGTTAGCTTAGCCCATAAACAAGATCAACAAGGGTCTTGAGACTGAATTAAAGGATAAGCAACTAATTAACTTCTCCAATATACTAAGCTTCGCTGAAGATGGATGACCAAGCCTAGAGTGCCACGTGTCCGCAATGCTCAGACGTCGACGAACCAAATGTGCAACTGGATGCGCCTCATCAAACAGCTTAAAATAGTATAGCCCGTTCACATGCTTACCCATCCCAATCAGTCTCTTGG